GAGCCAGTGAGGCTCCTGCATTGGACTCGCTTCCCCAAACTCGAAAAGCGCCCTGGGGAGGAGGTTGCTGCTTCACAAACGCCTTCTCTCTAATAAGTGCTACCTTGTGTTCTTGTTAATCATGAGCTTCCCAAATTGGGAATCGTCTTCTTCCCCTCCCCGGGGGGAAGGTACGCTAAAAAGTTTTATACAGGGGGGCTCCGTCTCGCCGAGGTTCGACTCCTTACCCTTTCATATACCATTTTTTACACAAAAGGTACCCCTATCGTGTACCGTCTATTGAAAAATGGTACCCTTTTCACATACCTAGTTTAGAATTTGCATCCTGCTGTAAATGCACCATCCTCGGAGACCCAGGGGCAGATAGTGGGGGCGAGGGAAAGTCTAAACGGGCGGGAAAATATGGCACGAAGAAAAGTAAAGAATGGCAAGAAGAGCCCTTAGGGATAATGTCTTACCAGACCAGTTCCAAACGGTCGCCGCCGTTTTGCCTTCTGATTGCGCAGAAAAACACAAAAGCTTTCTGGCACCAATCAGAAGTCAGAAGCGGCGACCGTTTGGAACTGGTCTGGTAAGACATTATCCCTAGGGGCTCTTCTTGCCATTCTTTACTTTTCTTCGTGCCATATTTTTCTGCCCGTGTAGACTTTCCCTCGCTCCCACTATCTGCCCCTGGGTCTTCGAGGATGCAATGTCTTTAAAATATGAATAAATCACAAAATCAGAACGCTTTCTCGACTTTTCCACTGCCTTATAATGCGTCTGTTAGCTCTTTTGAGCCTTTTTACCGACTGAAGGACTGAGGCTAACTTTGGGCAAGCTGAAAATGATTTGTACAGTGCCCAGGCCTCATTTGCTTGGCCGCGCGTTGATCTCAGCCTTTTTGGATTATAGAGTGTTTTCGGCTCCTGTGGCCACTGGCCAGCATCTATGCAAATTTATTGGAACAAAAGAAAGCGTTCGCATAAGAAAGGTGTTCAACGCCCACAGGATTGGTTTGGGACACCAACATGGCCGCCGTTTCATTGTTTTGGGACACCAATATGGCCGCCTTGTTGTCATGTCTTATCTCTCTCTGGAGTAGTCTCCCACGCAGACGTTCTTAGGGGTTCGTCACGCGTTCCTGCCCCACGAATAGCCTGCGTGGCAGGCGCAAAAAGGGGAGGGAGAGGGGGAGGGAGAAAAGCACCCCTTTCGACGCCTGCTACGCAGGCTACCCCACGAACGTTCGAGGGGCAGGAACGCGTGACGAACCCCTAACTGAACGTCTGCGTGGGAGGCTATCTCTGGACAGAGGGAAAAAGAAAGCGCGCGGGGGACGATGGGAAGGGAAAGAACCTCTGCTGAGGAGAGAGGGATTATCCTTCGAGTTTGTCAAAGTCTGCTGGATTCGTTTCTCTAACTGGGAAAGCGTTATTGGTTTTTATATGTGATACTATCCTATTTCTATGATCCTAGCATGTTTATTTACCGTTGGACTTCGAATTTCTTGGAAAAAGTTGTGTTGGAAAGGGAGCATGGCGGCCGAGATGCCCAAATGAGATGCCACCTTGCAACCTCGTCCCCAGGGCTTTTCCTTAAATAAGTATTACCTTGTATTACATTGAGGGTGAATTTGAAATTGTCACGAAAATTCGTTTGAGCATTAGGGACAACAACAACTAACTGCAGAGTAAGTTTCACTGACCTTTTTTGGTATTTCCCACAAATTTTAGGATCGTGTTTTTACCTATAAATTTTACTGTAATTTTACTGTGCTACATCACAGAACCTGGGTTGCCTGTGGATGAAACGCAAGGTCTTATCGTGGGAGATGCGTGTGGATCATGTAGTCATGCAAAGACTGATCGGTCGCTTCACTCGAAATTTTCGTGTGACATTATTCGCAGTAGGGACGTTGGTAGTTGTGTTTTGCCTCAAGAATATCCGGCGCCTTTTGCCACCAAATTTCACATGGATCGATCTAAGAAATCACGAACAGAGCCTTCCCATCTTATCTCCTGTCGTGGAACCTCGATTGTTCCTCGAACAATCTTTGTTTCTGCTTGTAATAATTTCGTCTTCCCCAAACAAGCAAGTAAACGCAGAAAGGAGAAATATGATACGCAAAACTTGGGGGAATGTTGGTGAAACTCGTGTACCAAACGATGTCGCATGGAAAGTTGTTTTTATGATGGGCAAAGCACAAGAAGACAAAATGGACCGGGCGGTCATGGCGGAGCATAGCAAAAATGGTGACTTACTTGTTGGTGACTACAAAGACGGATATAGAACTATTCTCAAGAAACTCCTTATGGCATTTCAGTGGGCATCCAAAATAAAGTGTTCGTATGTTTTGAAAACGGATGACGATGTTTATATCGAGATTCCTAAGGTAATTGAGTGGGTGATCGCCCGAAACGATGTGGATTCTCTCTATGGTGGTAATCTTTACCATGCGGAAGTCGTCCGAGACAAGAGTCATCGGCATTATGTTACCGAGGAAGACCTCTCCCTGGAACACTACCCTGTGTATTGCAAAGGTTCAATGATGGTAGTTTCAAAGAGTTTGGTTCCAAAGATGGTGGATTTATCAAAGCATATAAAACGAATTGGTCCTGATGATGCTTATGTAGGACTCCTAGCCTTCCAGCTAGGGTTGAAACCGGTCCAAATAAAAGGATTTCATCAATCAAGTTACATATATATGTTTATCAATTACTTAAGTACATGTCAGTTACAGGAATTAATAGGAATTGGAGATTCACTCAGTCCAAGTCAAGTCGAGTATATTCATGAAGTTAAAACATCATTAGCAAATGGTAATGAAGTACCTTCTACTTTTTGCACATCACTGCGAGGAGAATTTCTGCTTTCACTGTTACTATGTTGTACATTGCTGTTGATATTGTTATCATGCTGCTGCAGGCAAAGATTTTGCTTGAGAGTGAAAAAGTTGAGGTGATCTTTTAGCGACCAGGGAGGCCTGCCAGGGTAAATTCCGACAAGCGACATGGCCCAAAAAGTAGCGACAGCACGTAAAATGATATAGCGACAAGAGACAACCTCCCTCGGCCAAATTGCGACAGTGACGGCAAAGCTGACAATAAGCGACAAGCATTTATAAACACTGACATGAGATGTTTTAAAATTCAGACAGGCGACATGGGACCTTCCCCTGGCAGGGCCTCACCAGGGGCCTGTTTCTTGAAAGTCCTGATAATAAATAGGCCAGGAAAGCTTTTTTAACGTTTGCTGTGTGTACATTTTGATATCAAAGATTTCAGTAGCTTTGAGGATAATAGAATAGAACTATCGGTTAACAAACAAAACAAAATGGACTGGCTTGTTTCTAGGAACTGCTCTTTTAATCTTTAGCTTTTGATTTTATTGGCTTTGGCCATAAAAGTTACCCGGACTTTCAAGAAACAGGCCCCATTTGATTTAATGTTGATTTTTAAATGCACTCTTCAATACATAGAAAAAATATTTATTGGCTGTGTAGAGGTCTATATTTATTTATCAACAAAATTCAGCGTCTAAGCAAAAATGTTTCTTCCAAAATATGTTTGACAACCAATCCAGTCTGTCACCTTGGCCTCTGGGGACAAGGTAGCAATGTTCCTGGTGTTTAGATTGCAGGGACAGTGCAAAGAGATCTGAATGCCTGTAATAGGCAAGGGACAAGGTTGAGAAAAAAATACAAAGTGACCGAGACCTTGAAAACTGGGGCCACGGTGAAAATGATACACTTTTCAAGGGGTGGGGGTGTAATGAAAACTACAAACCTAAGACAGACCTCAGACTCTAAGAAGTTCTAGTCTCCTGAGGAGAAACAAAGTGAGAAGTAAAACTAGTGAAAACAAAAGACAAAAGGTTTAGTTTAAAGAGTATTGAGAAAATAGTATATACATATTAAAACCAAGGAACTGTCAAACATATTTTAGGGACTCAGATTTGAGTTTTATTGTTTAGAAGTATTTTAAATATTAGAATCCAAAACTGAGGTATATTTGATGTCTGACCCAAAGCACAGTTTGGTCCTGTCTTGTGAAAAGTTTGCTGTTTCACTTGGGCTGTACTACACAGGTTTAGGATATAGAGGATATTACATGGCCGCGCGGAGATGCAAAATTTCTCTTTGAGACTGAACAAAATTTCACAAGGTCTTTGCTCAACAATTCTATGGATTTTTGTGTTGAAATGGAAAAAATTGAGTAAACAGACACAGAGTATTTATAATGTCATTCTTGGTTATTTTGCCAAAGTTGTGCTCAAATTATATTGTTACTGGTATATAAAGTATATTTGAATATGTTAAATTATTTGCAAGAGAGAGTTATACAGCCAGTGTAAGAGTATATATTACTTTATTGACTAGGAATGATCAATATTTTCTATTTAAATGATTTTGCAGTTGAAATAGTGTATGTTGAGTTAAAAAAGCTTTATAAAAAGTTATTAGAAAATTTTAGCACCAGTGCATATTGATTTGTAGCTAGCCTGGGACCAGGCTCTTTATAGGGGAACTTGGGCAAATATATAGTTAATTAATTCACCTGACCTTTAAAAAATTTTGAGAAAGTATTCTTTGTTCTTGGTCTTTATTTCTGAGAGATCCCAGATGACACAATGATATTAGAGAAATAAAAACATCGTATTTACGGAAAACGACAAACGTGAATTTATACCACGAGACCAAGTTTCCCTTTTACTTGTTTACTGTTCATTTTAACTACACAAAAATTCGTGGATTCATGCCGATTCTATCCATAAGAATTGTTTAAAGCTGTTTTTATCTGCTCATTTTGAAAATTTCTCAACTTGAATCTCGCGTTTGCCTTTTGCTGTAAATGAGATGCTTAATCTCTCTATTACCGATCTTTTTTTAGTCAATAAAATATTTGTCATAATTTGAAGGAAACAAAATTCAAAGAATGAGCAAGTAGGATACTTTATTACATAAATAATATAAATTAAACGATACAGGGTGGCAAAATTCTCTTTATCTCTTAAAAAAATTAAATGTCCAAATCATCATCAGGATCCTCATCATCAAAATCATCTGCTTCATCAGGTTGGTAGAATACCTTCCCCTCCCCTGAGGGGTGTACTGTAACCTCACTTGTCTTCTTCTCATGGTACATGTAGGGAAGCTGAAGGTTTGATCGAGCTTGTCGTTCGTCATCAGTCAATTTGAGATTAAATGTCAGGTTCTGAGTTGGATCAACCTGAACAATTAGGAAGGTGATGATTAGTTGCTTTTCTGTAGTACATAATTAAGGCTGAAAACGAAAACACCCTTTTCCCTGATTTCTTAGGTGCAGGTGGAAAGAGACTCTGAAAAAACGGAAAATAACGGGGTATGGGCTTGAAGAAACATGACCGCTGTGTTGGTGGAGAAATTGCAATATTGTAGGGGTGCATTAAGACAGACAGTAAGGCCCCATTTAGAAAGTGACTTCTGCTCTGATTAACATCAAGTTTTACCTTAACCCTTTAAACCCTAAGATCAAAATTTGAATTCTCATTTGTTGCCCCTATTCATTTCCTACAGAAGTAGTGGGGAGAAGTTAATCAAATATCAAGCAAATTTATCCTGTGTGATCATGTCCGTAATTCTCATGACCACTCCGTTTTACAAAGCATTGATATTACAAGGAGAATTTTGATGCTGATCACTCTTAATAGGGCTTAAAGGGTTAAATTGAAAACAACAACAACAACAAGACAATTAATTGGAAGGGGAATATAGAAGTTTGTCAAAAATCAGCTGGAACTTACTCCAAGCACCCCCTCATCTACACACCAGAAGGTATGTTTTATGAACCGGCCCTTTGTGGGAGCAATGGCAAGGGATCTTGGAGGAAGGGCATGTACCATAGAAATCAGCTTTTGAGAATTGTCCACCAATATTCACTTTATCATCTCACAGTTGAAAAAACTGAATTAACGTGATAGCAGTGTATCAGTAGGTTTCAGTGGGTATGCACTGAACATTTTACTACAGGTTTGAGGGTTTAAACTTATACCTCTGCAACTGGTTCATTATATTTTACAGAACAGGATGCATTCCACTCCCTTTCTTCGTGTTCTGTCATTTCATACTCATCATTAATGGTAATGCTTTCAACCTAACAAATAACACAACAACAATTTGATAATGATAAATTAATACTTCTATTCTCAGTTTAAATATATTATCACTATCAATGCCAAAAATTAAGAATCAAGATGGAATCCATTAGGAAATTGAGTACCATAAAATTCCGAAATGATTAGTTCTGAGAACTAAACATTTTGTGGAGCTGATTAAGATGGAATCCATCAGGAAATTGAGTAATAATAACAGCACTACGAATCTCTCCTCTTTCTCCAGTACTGACATTTTCATATTAAATCCATTTGACAAGTCATACCTTCTTCAACACTTTTCCTGTTTTCCTCTTGTGTAACAGTCTACACCAACTGACTGTTTCATCTGAAACGAAATTCATTCTATGAGCCACAAGTCACTTACACGGCAGAATGTAACTGAATGAAAAGGGTGACATCAGGCCAGTAGTCTCCCAGCAGATTAAAAGGTCCAGAATCTGCTGGATGGCAAGACACCTTAACAGATCACCAGACAACATACCGGTATTTTGTTGTTGATTTTCATGTGTTAGCATCAAAATGGATGAAGCCAGGAAGTTAACGGCAGTTAATGACTGATCATTATGGAGATCAGAATGTACCAAGCAAACAACTTGTACAACCTGATAACCTGAGGACAGGAAAAGAAAAAAAATGAAAACAAAATCTGCTAAATCACAGGGAATAAATTATTCTAAAACTGAAGGGTTTGATGGATTGAGAACAGTAAAAAGTTGTGTTCACTTTAATCAGATCCAAATTTCTCCAAATAAGAATTGGCCTTGTGTGCTGATCAAACTGCTGTGACTATTTTTGAATAAAAAACTTTTAACAATAATTTTTTTGAGCACAAATAATAACTAATTATTATCAAACAAGTAAATCAGGAATGAAATCACTAATGACCCAGCTAATAATAACCTAGGACTGAAGTACACAGAAGTTGCACTATACCTGTTTGTGAGTTTGTTGAGCTGCTGGAATACAACTGATACAGTGATGAGCATACAGCTGATGTTGGTTTCCAAACCAACAGCTTACTTAAGGAATCTATCACAATAGCCACCTTTATCACACTGCCTGAAAAAATACATTGAAAATAAAAATTGTAACAGTTGCGTTAATTATTTATCACCTCTTTATAAGCGCCTCTTGCCTCGACATAAAAGGTCAAAATTTGTCTTCCTTGACCTCAAAAATGGAAGCATGGTGGAAGCACTTATTTGTTTATACACGTATCTATCCTAACAAATGGCAGTCTACTATTTGTTTGGCTTATTTTTACAATAACAAGCCTGCATCTTACAGTACAGGCATATGGATCATTAATGCAAGTAAATGGGGGTCTTTGTTCTCTTACCAGAGTTGCTTACAGAACCATCACTATTCAGTTTACTCTTGACAATTTGAGCTAGATTTGAGTTTTGATGGATGGTACAGACATGTTTGTCACTGTCACCACTGCAAAAAGTACAAAAAATACTTACAAAATTGTTATAGAATTAGCAGATCTGATAAATTATTTACATACACAGCTTTCATCTATAACTTTTCTCTCCTTAGCATCCTTTAGCTTCATCATCAAAAGCCTTTCCTAAGTGCACAAAACAAAATCTTATCCTTTCCTTGAAAAAGAAAAACCCACCGTTACATACTGACCACTTGTGTTCACACAACTTCAAAATAAAAGATTATATAACTGAGTAAAACAGTCAACCATTAACCAGCTACCAAACAGGTGTTTAACTTAAGTGGAGCACTTTTAATGACTTTACCACATTTAGATGTTCAGTTTAAAAAGACAGCTTTCTAAAACAGACTAATATTAGCTTACCATTCAAGATTCCACCCTAAAGGATCAGTGAAACCATCATAGCAAAAAATCCTGCAAAAAATTAAGCCCTTGTAAAACTGAATTGAAGGGGTGCATGAAATAACACCCACAGTGTCTTTACCTGATGTTAAAGAGTTCCAAAAATATGAAGTAATTTATTAGGAGAACCATCCAGTTGATTATACTTTGCTTGCCTTAGGACCAATATTTTACAGTGGTCGGTACTGGCTGGAAGTATTATACTTCAAACCAAAAAATATGCATACTTCAGCTATCCATAGCAGAAATAAAATCCCACGTACAATCTTAAAACCTAAATATCTTTCATGAGTTACCTATTAGCAATTATAATTTCTTCAGCTCGCTAAAAGAAATTATAAAAGGACACCCTGAAACATCCACCAAATTTCAACTACCAGAATGAACTTAAATCCCTAGTCACACTCCTAAAGTGTGTTAAAAAAAACCCAAAATTCGCAGCACTTTTTCAGAAGAGGTTACAGAGAATATTCAGGGAGAAAGGGATTGATGATTAATATTACACAACCTGTTTCTGACCTTTCTCTCATCTGTGGATCAAATGCAGAAAGAAATTGGTCTGTTGGAACATCCCAGAGTAGAGCATGCACATAGTCAGCACTAAAAAGAAGTAATGGATATTGATTAGAATTTTATAGTTGGACATTGCAAAAAAAAGAAAAAAAAATTGCAGGAATAAATTCTTCTAATGTGTCAATGTTCAAAGAAGTCCCATGATGTCTTTTTGGGCTGGCTTTGATAGGCAATGCAGTCCTAGTCAGAGTCATAAACAAAAGTACCAAGCGCCATGATCTAGTGAAAAGAGTTTTCCAATTCTGTTTAGAACTCCGTCACTTACCAGATAAGTAAAAGTGGAAGGACTAAACAAATAAAAGCGCATGGGAGTAAGCAATGTGATAAGTTCACACTTATGTCTCTTTTCTGACTCTAACAATCTGGCTTTCAATAAACCATAAGTGATGGTGTCATAAGCAGAGTTGGAAGAGAATGGGTTCCGATTCTTGAAACAGGAGGGTTTTGTTAATGACATGGACAGACAGATGAAAGTGTCACAAATAAACTTTTGATCAGTAGTAAAACAGAAGGTCTTTTTAACTTTATTTTAACTAACGTTCAAAGTCATTATTTCTTGTTCATAGTCACCACTGGTCCCCCCTGAAATGATGTCTGAGGAACAAGCACAGAGATTGGAACATTCCACTTTTATCCACACCCCCCTATCGAAGGCATGATTCCGACAGGCCCTTATCTCTTAATCTCGATTTGTACAGGTCTCTTATCTCCATACACAGAAGGGAGGGCCCAATTCCCACAGGCCTTGTAGTAATCCGAGTAATATGAGTTTCCGACAGGCCCTTTTGGTTAAAATGCTTACTGCGAAACCCTTTTTTGTGGTTTCCGATAGGGTCCTTCCGGATATTATTAAATTATGCCCTCTACGGGTGGTGAGGGGGGGGGGGGGGGGGGGAGAGGGGGGTTGGGGGTAAAAAAAGAGAAGTTGTCTTTCACTATGAGTCTGGTTTACTATTTTAAAAAAAAAGAAAAACCTTTACTTGATAAAAAACAAAAATACACCAAAATTTTGCGCCCCCTCCCCTTTTTTTCCCAAAAAAAGGTAACACTCACCAGAAGGAAATGAAAATTCCCTTTTTTTTCCCCCACCCCCCCCCTCCACCCCCCCCCCCCCCCCCTCACCACCCGTAGAGGGCATAATTTAATAATATCCGGAAGGACCCTATCGGAAACCACAAAAAAGGGTGGGGGGGGGGGGGGGGGGGGGGGGGGGGGTTGAAGAGAGGGCTTGCGGATAAAAAATGGAATGTCTCATTCCATCTGATGACGTGTTACTCATTTTGCGGAAAACAGCGGAAGGGTCGCAAAATGTTAGCTGAATTTTCAGTCTACTGCAAGTAAGGCTATTCCTTTTTTTTTAAATAATGAAAAGCTAGCTTTAAATACTGGTAGGAACTGTTTACCTTTTAAGCAGAGACTTTACAAAGCAGTATAATAAAGGCCTGCCACTCTGACTTATGTTATCTGCAAGGTAAGTTAAAGAAACATGAAAAGCTTGGGCTGCAAAGCGTTGATGTTGCGCTCAATGTTATCCTGATTTTCTGAAGCTTCTTATCTTAAAATGAGAAAAAAATGCTTACCATGTATGACAACAAGGTGAGATTTTTCTTTTCCATTAAGAATGTCTCCCAAGAGCATTATATTTTTCCGTTATATGCTAAACGAAATGACCATACGACTTTCTGAACTTCAATGCCCAGTGGGCCGCCATATTGGATGCTCTTGAACCTGGAGACTGGGGCGCACCATACAAACAGTCAGTGGTCGTCAGCGGTTGTATTGCCTAGCAACCGACGCCTGAAGCTATGACAACAAATTTTCATTGAAACGAAACAAAACTTTCGCATTACAGTTCTAATTGCTTTTTCCAGAACTTCAAGAGTAATGATGGATGAATATGCTGATGCCAAATGGAACCTACCGGGTTGGAGAATAGAACAAAAATATAATACAGATGTCTTGATAGGAAATTGGAACGAAGAACGTAGAGTGGTAGGTACACCGTGTATGTTTGGTGATTAGATCTTCGAAAATAGTAACATCCCGCTTGTAATAAGTGTCTGCACAATGGAAACTATCAGACTGTGTAAAATAAGTTGGGAAAGTTATATCAGGAAGCTTGCACTTATAAACTACAAATAAATAAAGGGAGGTATGAAAGTCTTGCCTACCGTTGTAGAGATCAATATGCAAAAATTAAAGGCACGCGCAAAATGTAGGCTTGAAAATTCTACTTATGTTTACACCGGCAAATTGAAAAAGATCCCTCATAGTTTATTGATGTAAGAATCAGTTAAGTTTATTTGATAAAAAGATCCCCTACAGGAAGGCGGGTTTTTTTATAGCATCACAAGCGTGATGCTTGCTTTCCATTCTTTGCATATTTTTGGTGTTAAATTATATTTTTGTTAGCTACCAGTCCCCAGTTTTAGTAACATCTTCTTGTGAACATTTTCCCCCTGGCACAAACGACCATATCGAAGTAAAATTTTCTTCGATAAATATTCTTAAAAATGCTAGGAGTAATAAAAAAAGATTTTTGGGGGAAAGGGGGGGGGGGGATTTAAAACTTTGCAGAATTTTTAGATAATTGTAGGACTATTTGATATTAGGGTTAGAGCATCTTTAAACAGTGTCACTGAAGATGCTGTCATAAAATAACAAAGAATCTTTTCAATAAAGTTCAAGTTTGTGCGTGAAGAAAGTGAAGAAAAGTTGTGTTGGCTCTGATCCCTGCATCATTCCCCTAATATCCATTGTTTTACTATTATACTTTAAAACATGTTATGTGAGAAAATGCTGAGATTGACCAGCCCATGATCTATGGATATTTCTCTTACAGTGAGTTCTGGTTTATACCTTTGCTATTTGCCTGTTTTTAGTTTGAGAGAGGATCCTCCTTCTTTAATAGCACTCATAGAGTGGATTTCAAAAATTATGGAAAATGTCTGCCTGATGTCACAACCAGGAGGAAAGCCCTTGAGAAACATGATGTAAGTTAATTCAAAATTCTTATTCAAGGTCAATTAGTCCTCGCTCACCTGTTTTGCTCTTTTACCTTGCATTTCTCTGTCTGCAGCTCACTCGTTAAGCCAGTAACCCATTCTCATTCCCAGACCAGCAATCCTTTTGGCTAGCACACAGTGGTCGAGAGCTGCTGCTGCAGTTGAAGTCAGAAGTCTACAAATCACAGACTTCTGGCTATCTGTGCAGCGTTAGGAAACCATGTACTGTGCTGGCATATGCGGGACCCAGCTAGAGCCCTTGATCCAACCTCGTTCACAGGGTTCTCTCCTACCCGCTCCGTAGGGCGGGTAGGAGAGGACCCTGGGAACGAGGTTACCCTTGATCTTTTGGCAGGCCAAAAGTATAACATATATCATGGCCTATGTGTAACCGCACACTCCCCTGACAAAGGGAAAGGATGCAGCTACGTGTATAAGGCAACACCTCTGGAGATAAGAATGCAAGTCATCATATCAGGTACTTACTGGTCTGATAGTCCTTTCGGCTAATTTGTTTGATATTTTTTCGTTAGGGTCTAGGAAAAGAGTTCATTTTCTCTCACCACCAAAAAGCTTATGAAGGAAACAGAATCTCCTGGTACGATCAGCAGTTTAATAAGCGAGAGATTGAAGAGTCTAAGCTCCCACCACTGAGAACATGGGATAGACAGAAGCTGGCCTGGGCACCAGAGAAATCGGACTATCCTATTCAAGGTGTGTCAAGTCAAATTTTGGATGTTATGTTGACTGTTGTATCCTTATTGATGAAAAACTGTTTTACAGTGACTGTCTGACCCTGTTAACAAGAAAAAGAGGTTAATCTACTAAATCCTGTGTTATATGTACTTTCAGGGCATCCCACAAACTATGGTTTATTAGAAAAACTTCAGCAAAAATGGAAGAAAGAAGCAGCCATGGAAAACCTTGGGATACATTTGTCCACATACAACCTGTCATACAACCGTCATCCTAGAGCATCATTCACTCTTCAACATTATGCACCGTCAAAAAGCCTCTCCTGTCATTTTCATCCTCATCGTGTCAACAAAGACCTTCATTTACGAGGAAAACAGCTGAACACTGCTCCAGAATTTCCACCAACCCTTGCCATCCCTCACAATGTGCCCCCTGACTTTCCACAATCAACCATTCTTGCAGTGTGAGGTTTATGTTGTTTGAGGACACTGGCTTACAACAAGCATTCCAGCACCCCCCTGTGTTCAACAATTCAATACTGACAGCTACAATGTAGCTTTTGCTCATCTCCATCCAGTTGCAAAGTTTTAGAAGTAAAAGTTAACCAACAATGTAATATCTGCTCTTAAGCATAATTTGCTCAAGTGGACATGGACACTGTGATAATTAAAACTTAATCTGACTGTATTGATAGTTACTGCACACTTTATTACAAGATTACTGTAATGGCATTTAATCTTGCAGCAATTTCTTATCATAATGAACTGTTAACAAGTACAGTCTGGATTTTCATGTATTTAAAATTTAATCATGACCCATCATCCGGCCTTTTCAAGCCTACATATTATTGTTTACCATTTCTGAGCCAAATTAGGAATGGCAACTTTGTATGCAATGCAATAATGCATTTGCTTTGTGGGGAAAGTAAAAGTCCTACTAAGATATGGACTACATGTCTGTAACTACAGTTTTTAACTCCAAAAGTTATTATTTTGTTGTTATCCTTCCAAATCATATCAGAAAACAAGTCTAAAACTTCTGATAAAATAAATATCATTACTTTATTCGGGTCTGATATACATAAATACAATAGTAAAAATAATTGCCTCATTTGTTTCCTGCACATTATCTCGATCCAAGATGTATGCCCATTGTTGGTCCTCTTTTGTCACACAGAATAATAAAAGCAGTCCATAGATCAGAAAGATTAGAACAGAAAATAAAAGTACAAATAGGCTAGTGATTTTTACCAAAAGAAATCAACAGACAAGTACAGTTCTGAATATCTAGGCTTAATCTTGTACTTTCAAGTTCTTAATGAGCAAAATAACGTACAAAACAGACTGTCCGTTTTCACAGTATAAGTGTTCTTAACTCTAAGTACATTGTAAGATACCTGTAACACAAACATGAACTATTGAGATTTTGTAATATATTTTTGGTCAATAAAAATTGAGCATTTTTCAGTGAACATTAGTGTTCATCATTACAATTTTATACTATAAAATTAAATTTTAGCTAACAGTGGTTTGAATGCAAATTTCCAAAATTGTTGTGGGTAATACTCTGGAACCAGAAGCAACAGAGCTTGCTCTAGAATAACTGAAGTTAGTCCCCATACCCTGTGAGGTCCATTGATAAAGACTGGTAAGATAGCGCTTGAAGTAAACTGGGTGTAGCCATAATTGACTGGATTACACAAATGCATCAAAGGAAGAGTAAAAACTGAATCCACCTGCACGGACAGAGATATGGCGGCATAAGTTATGTGGAACTCATAAGACCCCAGGCATTCAAAAGGTGGATAATGCTATCATTATGGGGTTTCCATAATACTTATCTACTGGATCTGTACTGATTTGTTAGGTGGATAGCCATAGTCCATTCTCTTCTTCTAATTCTAACTCTACCTCCCACTTCCACCCCCCCCCCCCCCCCCCCCACCCAACACCCCACTTTTTTTTTTTTTTTTTTTTTTTTTTTTTTTTTTTCTCTTCTTTAAATAAAAAAAACAAAAATATTTATTTTATTTATTTTATTAGGTCAACCCACATATAAAATAAACAAATTTACCCCCCCCCCCCCCCCCCCCCCCCCCCCCCCCCCAACATATGATCCACTCATTCTTATGAATTTTTATGCCTTTTTTTTGTGTGTCAACGATTTATAAATAATGACACACACTAATTTATTGCAATATTATTATAGAGGCACCCTCATAAACAAATAGAAACATAATGTCTGTCATTAAAAATGCCACGCCAAGGAGGGGACAGCCAGATGTCAATATTACAAGGATCACTACACAGTGTGCTATGCACATCTAAGATATGGCAAGATTCTCAGAGTATTCAAATGTAAGACACTACATTACATCATCAATGAAGGTCTCTTTAGCTCAATGGCATCAACATTTTTAATGACCTTTAAAAAAAATTATTTTTTTTGAATGCTATAGTTCTGATCACTAAGGAGAGGTAATTTATCCCAGGCCATGTCCTTTAATTTGAAATATCCTGTGATAAAACTCTGGACACAAAACTTCCATTACAAAGTCCAGGACAATAGCTGTAAGACCCCAGATTCTGTGGGGGCCATTAATAAACACTGGTCTCTTCATGATTGTTACTCCAAGGTGTTTGTGTTTAGTGTATCTTTGATTGTTAGTGCTGCACACATGATCCAAGGTAAGTGTGAACACTGAAGCAACCTAGGGTAAAGCAATTGAAATGGTAATTTTATAATCCAGCTATCTTGAAAAAGAATGGACCTTAAGGACCAAGATCAAACAACACATAATTCACCTACCTCATGTGGATTTAGTTGAAGTGAAGTGACATCAATTTCTCCAATAAACCCAAGAACAGGTGTGATTGCAGTTTTACCAAGCTATCAACAAAATAATACAAGTATTAAAACAAACCACGATCGATTTAAATTGGATTGAAGAATATTTCTCTGAGTTTTTCTTTTAAAAATTCTCACCTGTTCTCTAATTGTATTGTTTATTGGGAGGAGAAGACAGGGCTGAGAATTACTTGTCATTTTATGTTACTCTTACAAATCAGATGTTTGGGCATACATTATATTGTCCAAAAAAATTAATATTTTTCTTTTCAAGTGAGAAGATCAGATTTCTTAACAAAAGTGACTAAAATCAATAATAGCAAGTTCCTCTCTTTTCTTCTTTTAAACATTACGTTGTAATGTACAGTGTAATGTACCTGAGGACTTAGATTAAGCAACTATTAGATTAACTAATTTTTGACAGACAATGCCTTACTCGATCAGGCATCGTTGGCATCGGAGCCCAGACTTCCACGTGCCTTCTGTCCAACCCTAATTCCTCATCCATTTCCCTGATAGCCGTCACTATTAAACTTGAGTCTTCAGGATCTTTCTTTCCTCCAGGAAAGCTAAAAAAAATTAATATATAATATATTAATTATATAATTAATTAATACATATCTTGTTTCAAGCTTGCAACAAGCTGATTTGTTGCAAGACAGGTTTGAATGTGTGAGGTAAAAATTATGTGCAACACTGCTTCCATTCTACTGCAACATGGCAAAACAAGTTGCACATTTTTGTTGCCCCTTTTACGAACCGTAACTTAAAAAAAAGGTCTTATTCACCCAGGTTTATTAAAAATGGGTATTGGTGACATATGTAGGTGCTTTATCCTACAGAAACTGAAAGTTAAGTTCTGGCTCTATCAGCCTCATGGCTGGTGTGTGCTTTTACTTAAATGCTATTCAAAGTCCAGTCACCAAAGTAAGTTTAAGGTTCTGCTCCTGCAGTGCCCAGTCACACCTGGTGCCTAACAGTAAATTGATCCCAGGCAACCAGAAAATCTGAGTTTTTTCATAGAATTCATTAGCTGGATACCCTGTATTTCATAGGTTCAGAGCACTGAGAGACCCCTCATTTTTCATCTAGGAAAAACAAGACCTAGGGGCTGATTACACAAGCCTGGATTTGCTCCAATTGTCAAGATCTTGGCATGTTAATCAAATGCAAAAAAACCCATCAACTTTGTGATTATGTGGCAGCAAACCAGAAGCAATATCCAGGTCAGGGAAGTGACTTCTGCACCTAGGGGGGCAGGGGTACTTCTGGGAATTCTTAGTGGGGCTGTGCTGCTTGGTTCTCCAAATCCTGACCCTGTTTAAGACCAAAAAATCAGAAAAATGTCATTTTCAGACCAGACCTATAAAAGCCATACCCGTTTTCAGACCTGGCCTTTAAAAAGAAATTATGTCATCATCACTTTAATAGATTAGAGTGCAAACAAAAAAATTCTTCAAATGCATTTCGAATTCGCAGTTTTCTATTTCATTCTTATTCATTTGGAGTTGAAACAATAACTACATTCATGCGCTCCTGTAGTTCTCTCAAAAATCCTACCCAACTCCAGACCAAAATAAGCAAAGTGTATACCTGTTTTCAGACCAAAAACGCCCAAAAACCCTACCCGTTGGGGTGGTACATACCTATATGGCTTATATAAAAGAGTCCCCCCTCCCCCCGGACTTCTTCACTTGTTCCTTAGATATCAGTTTATAGGAAAACAGTTGGCAGAATCATGGAATGTCGCCAGCTGTTTTCTCAGGCTAGGCTAGCCAGGCAAACCAGACCAGTGACTTGCAGGACTATGGGTTTTACAAAACACTGCTTTTTCAGTCTGTCTGTAAGGGAACCCGTCCAAATATCGGCATCGGGTCACACCGATGCCGATCAATTGGGCACCGATTTTTTCCGATTCTGTTGAAGGTCGGACCCGATTTTATCGGTGCCGAATGAAACGGAATCGGCAACGGGTCTCAAGTCTTTATCGGGCCAATTAACAAAGGTCATCGAAAATATCTGGCAGCTCAAATAACCCGTCACAAAAGCAAAAGCAAAAGCGTGAATGTTGTTTTTTATAACCTTATCTTTCTTATAAAATTGAAATGTGTCTTGTTTGAACCGAAATTTAACGTCACAGTTTCGACATTTTGTTTATATTTCCTATGACAGAGTATGACCAGAAAATATTAAATTTGTGTATCAAAATGGGCACGAGAAGAAACAGCAGGTCATTCAACAACGCTGAAGAGCATCTTTTGAGTAAAAGACGCCGCAATGTACATTGCAAGTGTACGATCTCAAAATGATAATTTTAAAATAGCTCGAGCCTGTGCTAACCGGAACCCAAAACGCATGATTATAGGAATCTTTGGAGAAATAAACAGTTAAGGACTGTAAACGAAAAACATAGAAAGAAGTAAGAACATCCACGACCAAAATGCAAATGTTGTTACCATGTTGTGTACTTTAACTGCTAAATTGCCACAGGAGAGAAGAGGACATCGTCTGAGAATCAGGCTGCAAGTTGTTTATTGGTTGCATATGAACTCAAAAAAGTGACTGATGGAGGCGTTCAACTGGTTTTCTCTTTCTCGATTCTCTTTCCGCTATTAAATTGGGTCGAACTTACCGGATGTATGCACAGTTTCTTTAGTTGAACACTCCGGTAAAAAAGGTTCTGATTTTTGTCAAAAAGTCAGCCACCTAGAGTCAAGCGCAAATTTTTCTAAGTGCTGAGAGTGGAAAGCAATTTCACGTGGCACCATGCTCAAGCTCACAGAACATACAGCAAAGTCGCTAAGCCATTCTCTCTTTGGTAGCTCCTGTATGAAACTTCGTTCCGTGTCTTCCGTGACTCGCGAGTGTGGGAATCTTTCAGTTCTTGTTGCTAATTCCCCGAAGACAATCTGAGGCCGCAATCTAATTGGTCGGTATTTTTTGCCGCAGATCGCGTTACACCTTGCGTTTAGGATCGTTGAATGAAAGACGCCAATTTTCGTAAAAGTTTATCCCGTGGTTTTATATTATCCATGGTTTTGCTCTCGCTCCGCTCGCTAGGAAACTCGTTGAGGTCTACTTGTAACAAGTCTATGAATCCAGTTGTGTTTCGAGAAAGTGAGTTCCGGTTGTGTTTTTGGATTGCATTGTTAGAAAGTATCGAGTAAAGAACACACTACTCAGTAAGGTGTTTTGTTTGCTATTTATCAACGAAGAACAGTGGTGTTTTGCGTCGTAATATTTGACTCCTTTTAATTTTCATAATAAATGTTATGGAGCAGCGTGGTGTTTGCGATCGACTGAAGGAAATACCTCTGCAAAACGCCGAAAATCAGGTGTATAGGCACGCATCAAATCAACAAACTCGAAACACAACATGCAGGAACATACAATACTGCTATTTGTTATGGAGTAGGAAAAAGGTACAGTCGATTGAAATTACTTTGGAGTGAAACGACTCTTTCATTATTTGGTTTCGTGACACGCTTCATTTTACATATCAGATAAAATAATATGACGATGACACATATGAACATCGGAATGTCAACTGGCTCCGATTGAATCGGCAAAGTTTTTATCGTAATCGGAAACGGCAACTGGTGCCTATAGATCGGTACCGATTCCGATCAATCGGAAAATTAATCGGGTCCGTTTCCCATGATCGGGTTCCCTACCGATATTTGGACGCGTTCCCTAAGCGTCATGGTTCTGGGCTGGCTCGCTTCACCTGATAGCGGGATAAAAGTTATCTTGGCAAAGTGAGCCCAGCCCAGCTTACGTGTCCAGGCGTTTAGGATAAGTTGCAAGTGGGCTGAATAAGTAATAAAATAGAGCCTAACCTGACTTCTCCTCTGTGGCTATTCAACTGACTTGAGCGTAGAGTAAAGAGAACTGAAGGAACAGAGTCCACAAGGCACAGAGGCACAAATACTGCCGCCTCCTCTGTACAGCTTGCTAACCATGACTTGCGAGGCTTCATCAACCCTAGCTGCTTTACAACCCGTGCTTTATTCGGGTCTGAAAAAGCATCATTTAAACTGTTTAACGTTCTTGGCAAGCTGGAACTCATTGTCCTATAATGCTGTGACGACGAAAAAGGTGAAGATTTACAGTGCAACTTTAGATGACAAGATAAGGGGAAACTTCTTGAGACAGAGATTGTGAAACGTCTAACACAGTTGGTTAGATGCCCCCTGGTAGTGCAAAAAGATGGAGGAAAGACCAGACTAAAACTCTGTCCAGTCGTCCTTGTATGAACGATTCTTGTAAAGGTTCCTGTCCCCAGCATTATACGTGATTACGTTTTAGCAGTGTATTTGACGCTTAGCTTTACGCTCTTCTAGCTTTTTAGAGCAGCTATTGGATAGAGACCTCCATTTTCCAATACTTCGTAGTTTGACGTCATATAAGCTTCATGAAAGTTGTTTTGTACAAACCGCTGTGCAGAATATCCCAAGGTGCCAAAATGGCGGTCGCCAAAAGGACTGTGGAGCTTTTCTATGATGTGCTCTCTCCGTATTCGTGGTTTGGATTCGAGGTAAATCTATATTTCTGTATAAAAGAGGACTTACTAGTAGTTTTAAAAAGATTTTACTCCAAGATATCAACAGTATAACAAGTATATATGAGGCTTGGGCCATTCCATGCATTTTAATATACACACCGTCCCCCTCCCCCCCCCACTTGCTTATAAAGAAGTATTTAAAAAATCTGAAAGAACAACTGAAGCAAGATTTCCGTATACCCCTATCCATTGGTTACACATACACCTATTGTTCAAAGAAAACAAAAGTCAGAAAATTTGATGTCAAGGGGGTGGGTGGAAAAATTACAGAACGGCCCGTCATGACTTTCTCTGAGCTCTATAGAGACATTCCCCCCTCCCCCCCGTTGACCAAAAGTAAAAAATGGAATTTCTGAAGGTTGCAGGACTGAAGACCAGATTTTCTAGATAAGTAGCAGATTGAAAAGCAAAAATTTCTGAAGCTATAATTTTATAAGACTCATAGGGCAAACTTTTTGAGGGGCTTTGGGGGAAAGAGAGCGTTTTTCTGATGGCTAAGAAAATATCAAAGTCCTTCATCAAGAGTAGGAAGGGGGCTGGGGGTGGGGGGTTGGTGTATGTTAAATGGAATATTTAAATATACATATAATATACATAATAAAATTTCTCAGAATTGTCGCATGGATGAGCATATGTCAGGCAAGTTAATAAGAAAAAATATTGCGCCAGAGTTCCCCCTGCATATTCTGTTAATTTCTCTGCACTTGACTGACCTGAAAAGGGACTGCTGGAAGTTATTGGTTATTAAGGCAGTTATCCCTGGTAATTTCCTTCAGGTCCTATGTCGCTATCGATCAAGATGGAATTTAGACTTGCAGTTTCGGCCTTTTTATCTTGCTGGAGTCATGGGAGCATCAGGTAAATCTACATAACACTTACTTTACATTTTCTTTCAATTTGTTTTTAAACTCATGTACATTTTAAATACCCAAACAGTAGTTCTTGTGCATGTAGTATACCACTTAGCTTGTTATGTTGCAAAAATAAACAGAACTTAATGATATTTTAAGAAGTTGAGCATATCAATCAAATCTTTTAGAGTATTATTAATTCCCAGAATAAGAGCAGTTCCACCAAATGGACCTGTTCACTCAGAATGCAGAGGAAAGATAATGTTAGTGCATGCAGCTCTGGCTTCTCAAAATGTATGAAAAATTTTGGGGGCAGGTTGGAATCCTCATTATTTGCCAAATTTTTATTTATTAACTGACTGCTGTATAAAACTAAAATCATTTAAAATAAAACATAAGAACCATGTACAATGCATAGTATTTTCTCTATAAATTTGTCACTTTATTGGTTTACTTAATTTCATAATTTTTATGGTGGTTCCATTAGAATATCAAGGAAAGTTATGGATTGGTGTTTGTTGTTAATTCTAGCTTTTATTTTATTCTTTTGGTAGGGAACAAGCCTCCTGGACTGGTGCCAGCCAAAGCAATGTATATGACAAGAGACCTTGAAAGATTGAGAGATTTTTATCAAATTCCTTTCAACCATCCTTCTGTAAGTCTGTCTATTGAGTGGCAGGGAAGTGGGCTTGCTTGGAAATTGATGATTAAAATTTTTTTGTAATTCAGTCTTTGGTTGCACTGCTGATCAAAAACAATTGATATTATTATTATTACTATGTGTACCTTTTAGACTCTAAATGTATTTGTGATTTTTGAACCATTACAGTTTTAAGTATGATCTTTGTGTAATATGCATAATATTTGTTTCCACCCTCAGTAAGGTACTTTAGTTAAATCGGTCACCCTAGACGTACTTGCCACCTCTCATTTTATATTGATGTGGTTGTTGTTGTTGTTTTTTTTCTCATAGGATCCTGCTAATGTCATGTTTGTAAAAGGTAAATAAATAACTTGTGAAGCTTTTATTTATAAATATTAAGGAATTGTGTCTGTTGTTTTACTGGGCTGGACTATGACAAGTAAGCATCTCCACATTACGTTTTTCTTTTCCCTAGGTTCTCTATCTGCCATGCGTCTTGTCACAGCAGCGAGCAAGGATCATCCAGAGCTTGTTGAAAATCTTAGTCGGGAATTTTGGATGCGTGCCTGGTCCAGGGTGAGAGAATGAACGTTAATCCCCACTATAAACCACATACAAATTCTCCTATAAACTGATCTCTACACATTTCCATAACAAATTTGTTGAGGAAGTTGGATAAAAGATCATAGCATTTTCCCTGTGGTGATTATTTTATTAATTCTCACAATCTTTTCTCTTGATTCTGTATTGATGTTGTTTAGGAGAAAATTGAGGTTGATTACTTTTGGAACTTAAAGGGTTAAAATAATGAGTAGTAAACTCAAAACCCAGAGTTTCCCTACCATGCAATCATATGATTAAGTGTGTCAAAGGATAGAAATTAGTCGGTTCTTTTTGTGGACTAGTTTCTTATAAGAGAATATCAAAATATCTTTATCAACAATAAGATTTTTATTTAGCCTGGGGTGAGCAACTGAACTGGTATTTTTTACAAGCACCAATTTAGCCACAAAAAATTTTATTGACCACTACAACTACAACACTTTTACAGACATGAATCATAAATTGCTCAAAACATCTTTTAATGATCACCAGTATACCAAATTTGAAACTAATTTTTTTGTTATATCTCATCAGGATGAAGACATCACACAACGTGAAAGCCTTCTGGAGGTACAACGTTTGTAACTTTTAATATTAAACAAGACATATGAGAGGGGCTTAAAAAAATTGTATAATAATTCCAGAAATTGGCATGCTCTGATTGGTTGAGAATTGTATCATATGTCACTATATTCACCCTGCATGGGGTGATCATAGCAATTTCTGATGACTCTGTAGGAGATCGAACACAAACTGTGAGTAATACAGAGTACAATAAATTGAAAACAAAATGTTCCTTTGTCACTTCATTTCCTTGCTCTGTTCTCCATTGCTTTTGACAAATTATTGATTGTTAAAAATCATTTTTATTTATTTTTAGGTATGTAAAAAAGTCGGCTTGAATGACAATGATACTCAAAGTCTGCTGAGCAGAATTGGAGACCAGGAGATAAAGGACCAACTTAAAGCAACAACACAAAAAGCCATTGACTTGGGGGTAAGTACTGAAAAAAGCCATTCAACTTTCAATGTCTGTTTTATTAGTAGCCCATGTGAACAATAGCTACATCAGAGAAATATATATACCATGTATTTCTTTGCACATCATTGTTCCTCCATTTTTTGTGGAGGTATGCAAAATGTTCTGATATTTCTATTGTAATGACAAAATACACAATTCTGCTTTTAGGCATTTGGAGCTCCATTGATTGTAGCACATGTTGATGGACAGCCTCATATGTTCTTCGGCTCGGACAGATTCCTTCTGTTGGCTCATTTGCTGGGTGAGTAGGCAAATCACAGGTCCATAAATACCAATATCTAGCTCACCTGTGAGTACACCATTCGTATATCTCTCATAATACACCTCCCCCCTCCCCCCGCAAAATCTTGCATAGATTACCTTTTGTTTTTGAATTCCTTTGGCAACAGAAATTGAAACCAATGCTTGATATGCAAACTTTTGGAGGGCATACAAAGTGTATTATTGACTACGAACTATTTTCAGATCCCCCGTAAAACACTCTGTTTGGCAAAAGTACCCTAGTGGTGAGGAGATGGAGAGACTGCTGTATTTGCAGGCTATTTGCCTCCCAAATTTTGCATGATATAATTTATTCGAAATCTCTTTGGAATATACAGTCCTCCCAGAGGCAAAAATAATAGTTTTTGCAAAATTGTTGGGGGGGAGGCAAACAGGGTGTATTATGGGGGAATTGAAATAAGAGAACCACCCCTCATCGCTTACCCTCGTTATCAGGGCTCTCTCCTACTCGTCCCACTTGTAGGGGAGAACCCTGGGAATGAAGTGACCCTGGCGGCAGGAAGCGATGAGAAGCGGCCGGTATTCACGTGGACTGTTCTGTTCTATTCCTGAATTTTCACTCTTGCGAGTCGCCGACCTACCAGATATAAGGGACCTTAAGCGACCACGACAATGACAACATAAAAAAAAAGAAACATTGGTTTTTTGAGAAAAACAACAGCTCGGCACGTGCATCACGCTTTTTAGTACATTTCTCTGACGTCCATTACACGACTACGACGTGAAACCTCAGGTTATCTCCGTGCCTGTGGAAAGGCGACGAATATTCCTTTTTCTTTTTGAAGCTGGATAAAGGCCCGTAAGAATTCAATCGCATACATTTGACAAATTCAGCGGGTCCAAATAGACGCGATAAAGTTTGAAAGGACGCAAATTCATCCTTCGTCCTTAAGCTCCCTATTAAACTCTGACCATTTAATTTTTGAGGTATGGGTAACGAGGGGGGTGGGGGGGGGGGCGGGGTTGGGGATAAATGATTGAAAGGTCATGTGGCAAGATATCCCAGGTACCTAAAGGTCAAGGACGTCAGAAGCAATAAAAGATTCTTTATTTTAACTCCGCATGGAGAGGTCAACCGTTAGTGTACAGTTTAATTATAACTTAAACATTCAAGGAAATTTACCAGTTTCAAGAAGACTTCCCAAGCTTCACGCAGTTTTCAAGGAACGTTGAAACAGCATCTCTAGTACTGAATCTGAGTGCAAGGTTTTAAAACTCCTCAGGAGTTTTGAACTCTCTTTTTCAAAAAACCCCTTCTCATGGGTTTCTCGAACTTTGAAGATGACAGTTTCATTTCTTTTCACTCCGGCTTTCTGGATTTTATTTTCATAGGAGTGAAGTGGGAAGGACCTCTGACAGCAAAATCACAACTGTAGAAATGTGTTCAAGAGATTTTTTACTTACATTACACTAATTTCCTTTTTTTTTACATCGTGTTGCACTGCAGTTAGCGATACGACCAGTTCTAAACTGGGAACCGAAACACAAAAAGGGAACCTACTGTGGCTGATAATTCTTTATTAAAAACTGATAAATTTTTGACTTGTTTGCTTGTCTGACTTGCAGTTAATATAAAGGTCGTGTTCCGTGTTATAGGCAGCTTTAGAAACGACGACGGCGACGGGAACGAGAACGTCAAAAAAAGGAATGGGTTTGTTACAAAACAACAACTTTGTACATTTCTTTGCCGTTACTGCACGACTACGACGTGAAAATGCCTGATTTCACGCTTTATTGAGGACGTACGCAAGCGACGACGAATTTTTCTTTCTCTTTCTAAACTTGAGTGCGGTCCCCAAGAAACAACTTTACGGATATTCGCCTACATTGGACATTTTCGGTGGATTGGAATAAACGCGACAACGTTTGAAAAAACGCAAATACCTTTTCAAAGTGACGTTTTGTCTGCCGTCGTCGTCGTCGATGCTAAAGCTCCTTATTTAATCGATCAGTCGGTAAGGAGCTTAACCAACCACGACGACGAATTTCGTTTAGCGACGTTTTCACTGTCGTCGTCTTCGTCGTCGTTATTTCACCACCCTTGTACTGCGTCATTTACGCACAAGCCATGTGGTACACAAGACTTATCGTAGTCACTGTATCAAGGAGCAATTAATATTGCATGTTGGCACTCCTGGTTGCTGGTTGCTGGATGCAATTCCATCGCAGGCTTACCCTTGGCAGTATGTCCCCCGTAACTATTTATACACCTGACGTGGTGAAGCAAAGATTGTTGTCTAAGGCTTGAACCTGGACCTGTAGTTCCGTAGATCGAGTTATTAACCACTTGGCCACCGTACCTGCACAATTTACAGTCAGTTCAAATTGAGACGAATTAGGAGAGGAGAGCATCGTGTGTTTTGTTTCGATGTTTAGCTCTATTCTCGTGTGATATCATTCCAATTATACGTATACAATATATATATATTTTGCCTTTGAGGTGCAGTTCCTTTGGTAAACGTATCTAGTAAGCCTCCGCCATCTCCCTTCATTAAGTTTGCTGCCTTGAGTTGCAAAAAAAAACAACCTGATGTAAGGAAAAAACACACAAGAAATCTTAGCTGCGTTGGTTAGTGGGCTTAATAACCAGTAGTGGTGACTTGTATCCTGTCGGGATAGGAGAAATTCTCTGTGTTTGTAAATGGGAATAATTCTGAGGCGTCTCGGATCTGTTTCCGTCTTCCATGCTTCTTGAATGCTCCGAGTTTGGAAAAGTCTCTTCATTTGTTTCTAATTTTTCCTCCATGTCCTCCAGGACAATAGATTTTTTACGCTTTTTCTCGGGTTTTACTGACAACGACTCCGCTTGCACATTTCTTGCCCTTCGCGTGAAATCACCTTTCGTTTCTTCATCGGATTGTGTTACTGCATTTTCTGGTCTGTTTCTAGTTGATTTACTTTTCTTTGGTTTCTTTTTCTTTCTTTCTGTTTCTTCCGGAGCAACGGATTTTCTCCTAGTTGTTTCTGGCGCGACAAAATTCTCATTTAACTGCTTTATCATATCTTCCACATCTTCGTCCGAATTTTCGGAATCTTCATTTTTGCCTTTAATTGCTACTTTTTTCTTTCTGTTTTTCTTCTTTTTCTTGTTTTCTGCATCTCCCGTGGCCGTGGTTACAGACGTGGATCGCCACATTTCTGGACTAGCTGGGATAACATTAAAGCTTGTGAAACCTTTTAGCTCTTCTTCTAGGTCGGATATATCGTCTAGATCTTCAACGCTTTTCTTGTTATCCTTTTGTCTTTTTATTTTTTTCTTCTTCCTTTTGGTAGTTTCTCCATCCTTGGACTCTGGTTTCGTTGTTTTATTTTTTTCAGAACCTTTTGCCTTCCCCTCATCTATGACCAGTGACGATGCAATTTTAGTAGCAGAGCTCACGACCTCGCCTTCGTCAGTAACTGTAGATCCTCTACGTCCGCAATCTTGTGTTACCAATCTGTTGTCCTTCCCAGAACTTTTTATATTGTTTCTATCAACATTAACTGACTTTCTGCGCCCCTGGCTTGCTAGAACGGTTAATTGATCATTCTTTTCCTCGGTCTTTTCAGAAACTTTAACTTCTTCGTCAGCAGAAATCTTAGACTTTCTCCGTGCGCTAACGCTTGTAGCTAACTTTTCTTTGATCCTTGAGGTCGATATTTCTCCATTACGAGCCGTTGTACGATCGTCCGCTTTTATTTCATTTTCCTGCTTAATTGCTTTTGTGTTCTTTTCCCTCTTTTTGTACTTATCCTTGGGAGTGGCAATCCTAATTTCATAATCTGCTGCTGAACTGGGCTTTCGTTTGTCTGGGTCTCGTACATCCTGCAAGGTCGAAGACTTCTTTTTCGTGTTAACTTCTGTCTCTGACAGCTTTGGTGAATTTGCTTTTTCATCTGAGGGTGATATTGAGGATCTACGAACTTTCCTTTCGGTATTTGAAGACGATAACAAGTTTCCACTTTTCTTTGGCTTTTCAGACGGTTGTTGTTTTGTTGTTTTGTCGTATTTCAGTGGCAGAAAAGCTGTGTTCTCATCCGCATTTGAGCTTAAATCAGAAGACACGACAGATCCTTTACGTTCTTCACTAGTACGGACATTAAGCTCTGAATGCAGATAACCATTAGCATTCCTCTGAGAAGTAGGTTTGTTTCTGTTTTTGTCACTGTACTTTGTTGCTTCATTTTTGTTGTCACCTCTCGCGGAAGCAGTAGCATTATCGTTTATAAAGCCAGGGTTTTCTATCCCATTAGACAATCGTGAGCTACCGCTGGAGTCTCGCAAAATGCGCTCGTCGTCACTGTTTAATATGTCACTCAAATTGTCATCGTCTTCTATATTCATCTCGCTTCCACTGTCAATACTTCGTCTGTCCATGTCGGAGTCGACGTCATCGAGAATAAGTTTTGGCGGAGTCCGCTGCATGTGCAGTTCTGTTGGTGTGTACGCGGGCGCTAGTGATCTGCCTAACGAACCGTTAGCCTCGTTTTCACCTGGACGCAGGCTGGCGGAGGCAGTTTCGTGGGATCTTCCGTTAGCTGCCCAAAAAAGGTTAAAAAACAAAAAATTAGCAAAAGTGTTTTTTTCTTGTCCGCTCTTCTGTTTCTTTAAGAGCTCTAGCTCATCTCCAAGGAATCCTCTCTCAAGAGGAAAATATCAAGTGATTCTTTTAAAGAGGTAGCAAGCGATACTAAGTTTCTAACCTTTTATTAAGATGCAGTTGTTAACTCACGAAAAAGGATTTGCCTAATTTAAAGGGGGCCGCCAAACATCTGCCCGCGCTAAAACCAACAAACGTTTCAGTGCTGTACTGTATGTAACTTAGGGTCTGTAGTAAAATATATAGGCTCTTCGACGACAACGCTCCTGAAAGCATCAAAAAGCACTGGAAGCGAAATTTCGTGTCTCTAATTAAAAGTTTCCGCATTTTAATAGCGTTTTTTATGCACCTACCGATTGATTTACTGTCATTTTCTTCCATTGCTTCCATGATCCGCTGTAGCTGTTGAACTTTCTTGTGATCCACGCGGTCACTGTTGATTGGAGTGAATTTCCTTCTGTAAAGAAGCCAGGAATGTTTCAAGAACTTCCAAAAGACGCACAGGAAAATCAATCCTAAGATACCCCCCAAAGCATAGAACAAAGGTTTCAAGTCAACTTCAATAGGTGGTAGTTCATTTGTAGGTGCCAAGGGTTGGTCAGTCGCCGGCGCCTGGTGAAGACTATATGATGATCCTTGGACGGCGGATAACATGAATGACGGGTGAATACTTCTTCCATCCCATAAAGGGATGACAAGAGAGTTGTTGGACAGGAGACGTCGAAGTAAACCCAGAGATGTCTCAAGTGTAGTAAGGTTTTTCCCTTGTACTGTAATGTTTGCAGCCAGACCAGTACAGGTCAGGTAGCTTGGTTCACGGTAGGAGTTTTGCGATTTTTGCTCGTTATTTTTCTTCGAGCTTTTCCCCTTCATTCTGCCACCTACTAAGCGTTTTGCACGATGATGAGCCTTGATCGTCTCTACGTCCACTCCGCAATACGGCCAATGACCAGTTGAGCAAGCGATGTTGGCTGTGACTTGCACCAATGGAATTCTGGAAAGACTTGCTATTCCTTGCTCCAGATAAACTCTTAATTGTTGTTCGTTGCCTGAATACTGATCGCAGTCCCGTATAAATACAAGAATTACTTTGTAATACAACGTTGGCACTGTGGTTGCTGGTGGGGCTGTGAAAAAAGAAAAAGAAAACGGGTTTCCACTTGCAATACTATTTATGAAATAATTTATGCTAGTAGTGAATATTTCTGTGCTAGAATCCAGCTTTGGATTAACGGACCTCTGTATGGGTAACTGCCATGCAACGTCGATTTCGTCGCTCGTCAGTTTCCATATGGTCTGTTTTTTTAGGCCAAATCGTCGCATATCAAGAATTGTTTTGCGTGGTAACGTTACCAGCGAACTTAGCGCAACCACAACGAATACGGAAACGAGAGAAAAAACAAAACTAAACCTCTGAACTACCCTGCGAGCGAAAGTTCTTTCAGTCTGGCATGGCTTTTAGCGACGCGAACGACTTGGTACAAGTACAGTGGCGAATCCAGACCTTTATTGAGGATATGAAGCTTGCGTAGCCAATGCAATACTGTTACCTCAATTACTGGCGGCTTGCATTGGTTTTGACATTGAAACAAAGCGGAAGAGTTATTAATCCTCAGAGTGATGTATGCAGTGAACGAAATTACAATTAAGAAGGAGTACTTGCTCACCAACCTGTGGTGCTAATGCACTTGTCGCAACAGTAGGTTGCATTTTGGGGACACCAACAGCAGGTCCACTGCGATGTATCAACATAACGTTCCCCCGTGAGATTAACAAAAGACTGCTGGTCCAAAGTACCGCAGGCAGAGGTGTGGTTGAATGCACATTTGCATTCGTTGTTGTCTACTGCACATTGTCCGTTTGAAAGCGAGCTGTTGCAAGAAGACTAAAAAACGAGGAACATTGCGTTAGTAGTTTAGAGTGAATGTTTTTATTCTTTTTGAGCAAAGAATAAGAATAAATCTCTATTTTTCATTCTAAACTTTTCGTCTTTTTATTTATTTATTTATTTATTTATTTATTTATTTAGCAGCTTTTCTGGACACAGGCCTGCCCAGAGGGAATGTGCACGAACGGGACTAAGGGCCCATGCAAGGTGCCATGGCCACACCACCGGAGTCTACGACCCCTACTCCTTTCGAATAGTGATGTGGGTTCTTTTACATCCCACAAGAACAAATCAGTGAAAGTGCTATGAGACGGGACCTACGGTTTTTCGTCCTTATCCGAGAAGACTAGAAAGTCTAACCATTTGCAGATGTCATTACAAAGGCAGCACTTACTTCTCAGTTATTTAAAGACCCTGAGTGTTGGTCCGGCTGGGGTTTGAACCCGCGATCTCCCGCTCGGCAGATCGGCGCTCTCCCAACTGAGCTAACCAGGCGGCATAAATTTTTAGGCTAATTTTTCATGACACGCCAACGCGGATGAAATTTGGAGGACATACGTCAATTGCTCGTTAACAGAACAATTATCGGATGAATGACGTCATTGTTGACGTCACGGAAAGATGGTGGCGCGACGGCTCAACTGTTTTGGCAATGTCGAGCTTTACTCTTCCTTTTTTTTCATTTTTGGGACTAAAGAAATAGTCTAAAATCGTAGCAAAAATTAGCCTCCCCGTAGACGTCCTTTGGGGTTCGTTTGTTACGCATTCATTTCTCCCCCACGCGGGGGAGAAATGAATGCGTGACAAACGAACCCCAAAGGACGTCTGCGTGGNGTTGACGTCACGGAAAGATGGTGGCGCGACGGCTCAACTGTTTTGGCAATGTCGAGCTTTACTCTTCCTTTTTTTTCATTTTTGGGACTAAAGAAATAGTCTAAAATCGTAGCAAAAATTAGCCTCCCCGTAGACGTCCTTTGGGGTTCGTTTGTTACGCATTCATTTCTCCCCCACGCGGGGGAGAAATGAATGCGTGACAAACGAACCCCAAAGGACGTCTGCGTGGTAGCCTGAGTATCAGGCCTTCCTATGGGGCTAGGGGAGAGGAGATTTTAGATTTTTTTCGCTTCCATCTTTCCCCTTTTCCCCAGAAACGCCTGATACTCAGGCTATCTGCGTGGAGGCTAGGCAAAAATGGTCTTAAAAGTTATCTGGTGTGTTCAAACGCCGCGCAATTTCATGATGGTTTTTAAAAGAGGAAGAAATAGCCAGTAAATTGTTATGTTTACTATTAGTAGTTATTATTAATTCGTTTTCTTAGATTGTTAGTGGAATGGTTATTTTTCTTCGCAGATCCCGTAGCTTGTTACGTAATTTAGTTGATGATTAGACGTACTGAGTATTGACTTGATCTTACACAACCTTTGTGCTTCCGGTTGCGTTTACCTACACAAAAGCGGGCAGGTAAATTATATATGTAACGCAAAATACAAGGGCTTCAGGTAATTACTATTATCTTTGTTAACAAACTATTCCAAGTTTTAAGGTTTATTATTGTTATTAGATGAATCTCTAGCACCTAACGAGAGATGAAAGTTGAAATGAGTTTTATAGAGTAAAAAAATTGTTCATGTTGTGACTTCCAATTGATGGTCTACAGTCTGCATGGCGGGTGCCCTTCCCCTACCCCCCCCGGGGAAATATTCCCTTATATTTGCCTTATAGGTATGTGCCGCCCCAAAGGGTATGGTTTTGCGCCGTTTTGGTCTGAAAACGGGTATAGACTTTCCTATTTTGGTCTGAATTCAGCCGTGGTTTTCGCGGCAACGCATGAACGTATTTGTCGTTTCAATTCCAAATGAATAAGAAAGAAAGAGTAATATGCGAATTCGAGGTGGATTTTAAGAAATCCTTTTGTTGGCGTTCTAATCTAAGTAATGATAATATTATTTCTGTGTACGCCAGGTCTGAAAACCGGTGTAGAAAATGACAATTTTTTGGTCTGAAATAGGGTCAAGATTTTGGAGAACCGGCAGCACACCCCCACCAAGAATTCCCAGAAATATCCCGCCGCGCCATACCCCTTTCGACGCCTGCTACGCAGGCTAGATGGACTGCGATAATATTTCTTTTTTCGAGTCGCACTCTATTCATTCTAGAAAATTAAACATTTTTACCTGATATAAATTATATCGGCCTTATTGTTCTACCATGAAATTTAAAAACAACAGGATATTGGTCGGGAAATTGTAAAACTTTGCTTGGAACTCAATTTAAAGTCCTACTTTTTTCGCGCAACAATATGCCAGGTGGTTACCGGTATGTTTTTATTGTTATGTCAAGCAAATACCAAATGCCACCTAAGGTTTATTTAAAACATCTCACAGGATCAACGCAAAAATAATTATGGAAAGTCGCTGTTTGAATAAAACATCCATGCCCCATTTGTGTTGTTTTTAACTAAAACTACGTTTTCCCCGGTGATCAAAACTTTATCTACTCGAAATGTGCTTCTTTCGTATTCATAGTAATTCACAAATAAAAACATAAAAACGACGACGACAAAGATGATGACATAATAATGATAATAATAATAATAATGATAATAATAATAATAATGATGATAAAAATAATATTTCCACAATAATAATAATAATAATAATAATAATAATAATAATAATAATAATAATAATTTTCAGAATAGTAATAACAATAATAATTTTCACAATAATAATAATAATAGCAATAATGATAATAATAATGATTAATAATAAAACATCGGTTTGACTTAGATGATAAAATATAGTTCAAACATTCTGATATGGTTGTTACGGTTTCTCTGGTGATTTTTAATTATCTTTTCGTTCCTTGCACGGTTTGCCGTCGGCGAGACAAAATTCTAACACTCAAACAAAAGAGGATTGATCTGTCTTCTTAGGTCGTTGTCTGCTATAACTGTCAGCTGTAAGTCGGTCATTTTGATTAGCGTACTGGTATTAACAGACGTGAATATGGAGACATCTTAATGACATGTCTCACCAAGGTTGTTATGGCAAAGTTAAATTTCAGGCTAGCGAAAAAACCAGATTGTTAATTCATCTCAGTAAAAAAACTATATTGCACCTTTAATTAACTGTTACCTCTAACCTGAGATATGAACGGGATCAGAGTATAGAATTCTCTTTTTCGAGGCGAATATTGCTTGAATCTATCATGGGTAATTCGAACTGACATGGCGACCATCATTTAAGGAAATTCAAGGATGAAAATTCCGTCTAAATTATTAGGCGATAATACATGGTCATTGTGCGGTATTAGCTAATTAGGAGAGTTTTATCCTCGGCCTTCAAAGTTAAAAGAAAATCTTTGTCCAATATTGATTGCTGACAACGGTAGAATTTGTCAGAGTTTGAGCGGTGTGCCTTCATCCCGCAGCGATATGAAATCTTTTTTCATTTCAAATGTATATTCTAATTCCTGAGAAAAAAAACTGAATTTGTGTTTTAAATTAAGGCATGTTACTAAATATTATAATTTCTCTAGTTTAAGGATTCAAGTGAGAGCTCTGAGGAAAATTTCACTTTGTTAGTTAAAGTCTATACTGAAAACAGATCTATTCCTTCATTTGCTTGACTATTACGTTTTCATTATCAACTTGTACGAAACAAAAAAATAAATTTCAGACAAATTTCACAATACTAGTATCCTTACTTTTTGTTACATCAGTCGGGATGGATACTACATTGAAAGAATTTTCTTGGTGTGTGAGAAATGCGAAACGGTAAAGTCTTCAAAGTTCGGTATTTAAAATCAGTTGGCCAACTTGAATTTAAAAGTGTTAAATAAAATCCAATTTTTAAGCGCGCGTCGTTTTCAATAGCTCTTTTTATCCAACATGCATGCCTGTTTACACTGTCGCTAAGCCAAAAATGAATAAAATTATCTAATCCCTGAATTCTCGAGGGACGTTTACTTCAACACTTGAAAGAGGAAAAAATAAAATGAATTTTTATTTCTTACCTCAGAACAGGGATAAAATTTTCCTGAATTCAATGCGGGGCTAGTGAGTTTCGTTTTTAGCATGAAAATGGCACCTACGTACGAAAAGACGTACAGTTTTGCGGTTAAATATGTCACAAAAAATCAAGCTGTAAAATGTTTTTTCTAGTTTAAAAATCATAATGATTTCCAGTTTGAGAATTCGATTTCAAAGTAACAAACCTTACCGTGTAGAAGAATATTAAGCCAACACTGCGAGAGCATGGTTCGTCGAAAAAGGAAAACATTCACAGTTAAAATCGGTTTTCTTGAAGCCAAAGTTGTCACAGACGCTTCGAAAGCAAACTTGTTCCTTTGTTCGGTGTGATGTCAAAATGAAATTTGCAGTCCTTTTCTAACTTGCCTTTATCGAGGCATGTAATCTTAAAATGGAAAATCAAGAATAGGTGATACGGACCCGGGATAAAAGGGATATTGTACGCCAAAATTGGCGTTCTCTCATTGGTTATTAAACGTATTTGGACTAAAAAGGGTACACCTGGGTTATAGTCTCACTTGAAAGAGGTTTTAGTGACATCCCCACTCCAGCTGCTCAAATATTCAATAGATTCGCTTTCCCTTTCCTTCTAACTTCGTTGATTGCTAAAGAGCTAGCTTATTTCAAGCCAAGATGATTGTGCTGATTTTGTTTTGTTAATCTGAAAGATCTCCAGCTCTAATGAGTATTGTGCTAACAATCCGGCTGCCCCATTTGTGATAAAGTATTAGCGGTAAAAAGCCCTTGGATTTTAGGACTTTCATGTCACTGTGGCTTTTGACAGCTTCAGCCAATCGGATTCTTAACCTCGTTTACACTTTTGGAATAAGATAGTACCATTGTTCGCCCCAACACCGAACAAGCGATTGTTTCCTTTAACGTAGATATGTTGAAAATATTGGAAAATTGAAGGTAAAATTAGTTTATTGTTATGTTATCACAAAAGAGGCAGAAAAGCCTTATTGTTGGAATTAAAAATTGAGAAAGACAAAGCTGGAACATAATGTTTTATACTTGTGTACGAAATAAATTTGAAAGGTTTCATTGTAATAATTATTCATTCTACCTAAGTTTAAGGCTATTTTTAACCGACACTTACAGCTGTAAGGAAGTTTAGCCAGCTCTAAAATGATTTTCGTCATTGGAGTATTGTCTTTCTTTCACGGAAGTTTTTCCAACTAATGTTTTTCAATTATTTCTAACGAAACATCTAGACCATTTTTATCGTTACATTGTTACAATGTGAGTAAAGTTTTGACGAACGCAAGGAAACATAAAGCAGTATTGCTTCGCCAACCAGCGGGTCCCGTTGCCGTTTCAGGTAAGGATGTCGCGTCAAAAGCCGTTCATTAGGATTTGCCTTGGGCAACATTCAATTATGTTCAACTTGAGATATCTAAATGACAATCGCGAACCAGACAGTCTGCTCTGTAAATTAAGTAAGACAAATAAAGTGCGCCCAGTGTCGTCAACACAAAACATAAACAGTTTAGAACATTTTATTGCTTAGTCTACCTCTCGTGGGCTGATTCGCAGCGAAGCTGTTCAGTTTTTGAATGCTAGCCAAGATCTGTCAAGATGTTCAAAAATTAAGGCTTCCGGATCATTTCCACCGAACTGTTGACTATAGAACAAAATTTAGTCAAACATCTATCCCACAAAAAAATGGTGGCGAAACGTCATCCGTCAAGGGCTAAAACGCATTCAAAACGAACGGTAGGGACGTCAAGATAGCGACAGCAGTGAATACCGGTTACTTATAAAGTGTTTTCGCGTTCTTAAATCTATATCGCTATTATTCACTCACTCAATTTGTCAATTGAAGCCGAATTTTCCTGGAAATGATATATTAACACTGTTTACAATTACGGAAAGAGAAAGAAAAATTGGACGACGTGTGTTTACGTCGCTTCAAGAAATTTTACCTCGCACTCGCGCAGCGACGCCGCGACGGCAAGGAAACGAACTCAAACCTATTTATTTTCCCGTTTATTCGTCCCTAATCTCTGGGTATTTTATGATGGCCGACAGATCCAACCACATCAAATACTTTGGCTAACAGATATATGCCGTTGCAACGTCATTGGAACATCATCAGCCAACATAAGCCTTCACGACGCCAACGACGTTGGCCAAGGCCCATTCACCAAAATTGGTTTCCAGACTTCTGCGGGACATCATTATCACACCTTGCTTTGTTTCTTTGGTAGTATAGCAGATGTTCATACAAATTCAATATGAAAACTGATATGGCTGATTCCCTTTAAGTGAATATTCTTGTTAGACATCCAATAATCGCGACATAAGCCTTAAAAACAGGTCACCGTAGAGTTCCGAAAGTATCGACTTAGCACTCTTCTGCTATCGCTTCTTTCGGAGGAACGCTACTTTCGGTGGTTGTTACTTTTGGACGGCTAAAACGTGTACTCCACATGGGCACTTCAAAAAATAAAATCGCAAAAAAATGTGAAAGGAATACTTTTTGAAAAAAGGTAATGTATATCTTGCACTTTAAGAGTTATAACTAGGAATGTCAAATAATCATTATTGATAAACTTCTGATCAGTGTGGCATTTCATTTGTTCAGGATATCTATCATATCCTTTATTTTTGCAAAAAGGGAAATTCGGTAACGTTAAGGTCTCTACTTTCGGAGGGTCGTTATTTCCGGGGGGATCGCTACTGTCGGGATTTGCTAACACCTGTGACATTTTATCGCTACTTTGGAGGGGTCGCTACTTTCAGAACTTTGCGGTATCGCTTAAACAAAACTCCTGAATGTTGTATTTATAATAATTTTTACATACTGTGATTTCTACAAGTCAGTTGACAGATCCTTATTAATGGACAAGTTTACAATAAAACTCTTAGAGTTAAAAACATTACTTATAAACCGTACAGCACAAAGGAATCCTACAAAAAAGCAAATAAGACTTGTTAATAGTCAACTGTAATTACTAGAGATGAACGCCTTCCTGAAATATTTTCGTGCGAGAATGGACACCGTATAATTGAAAACAATGTGCACTTTTAAAATATTTCTTATATACCTCTTACACCTGTTTTTTAAAGGAACGTTTAACACGAAAGCCATGATATGAAAGATCGCCTCAAGAAGCTCAGATATAAAAATCTGTGCATTTCAAGACTGAGCCGCTTATGATATTGTCTATGCATGATGAAAAAGCAGCGACCGACATCTGGAAGTACTGGCCCACAAGTCAGTGACCTGATTCGCTCTCCACTGAACTGGCAAATTTCATCTGTAAATATGACGATTAGATGCCATCGCCAAACGAAAGGGTTGTTGTAAAACTTCTTTGCCAAACTTCACTGGCTCATCAATCAGGAGAAAAACGGCCGGTTTATTTTCTGTGCTTGAAAATATAGACTCATTGAACAACAGGAGTAGCTGGAGTGGAATCTTGAGAATCGTGATCTTGTTGTTCTACTTTCGCCATCTCTGACTTCATATGTTGGATAGCATCCTTGCACATTTTAAGTTTTTCATTTAACTCGCTTATTTCTTTTCCTATTTTCTGTCGCGCACCACCTATAGAAGCAGTTGTTCTCTTTTCAATTTCATCCCCTGCAAATTAACAATAAACAACACAAAAGTTTTTTTTCAGGAAGTTTTTAGTGTTTTGCAGAACTGCACTTGCTAATAGGACGATTGCACGATGACGATATTTGACTACAACTACCAGAATTCATTTCGGTTTTGTTTTGTTATTTAAATTTGTCAATCCCGCTGAGGATTAAAAAACAATAGCCTTAATTTGCACAAGAAAACAACAAACTCAAGGATTCTGGTAGTTGTAGTAAAATGACGCCATCGTGCAATTGTCCTATTGGCCAGAATCTCCTCCAATCAGATGAAAAGGGCGCTCTACATTTCTCGCTATTTTAATTGGTCAAAATATCACGTGCCGCTTTGTCTTCCAATCAGACGCGACAAGCGAGACCCATCCGATAATATTTTGATCGGTCAAAAAGTCTCGTGATAGTCTCTCCTCCGATCAGAGGCACAAGTTACTTAACAGCTGAGTGAAATTTCTGGAGTTTCAGAAACAAACGAAGGAATAGCGATTGAAAGGTGGAAAATTTTCGAAAGTGACGATTGTGAAAAAAAAATGTGGAGCGGGACGACAAAAAAAAAATTGGCAAGCCAAGCAAGGGCATAGGGGAGAACAAAGGTAAGGAAGGCTGATAGAGTTTGTTTTGATGCCGCCCACTTAACACATTATGTCAATAACATGTCAATGAGACCTGTCTAATTATGATGGCTATTATGCTTGAATGCATCGGCTTCAATAACATTCGCGTGCACATGGGTATACTTCATCGCTCACTTCTCAACAGTCAGCGATCTGAAGAATCAGATCGAGGGTTCGTACCCTTTTTTGAACAAAAAATTCAAGGACTTTTCAAGGACTTTCAAGGACTCCATTCAGTGCCAAAAAGAGCCTTGAGCCTTGTCTTTTTTTAGTTCTTCCACAATATGAGCAATTTCATCCTGAAGGTCTTTCTGTGATTGCTTCTTTTATGCAATTGAGAATCTGGGTTGGATAAAGTTAGCACCGAAATTCAAGGACTTTCCAGCACCGACTGTAATTTTCAAGGACTTTCAAGGCCTTTTTAAAATTATAGGACTTTCAAGGACTTTCTACGTGCGTGCGAACTTCGCAGATCACGATACCAGAATCTGGTATCATGGATGGGCGGCATCAAAACAAAGTCTACAGGCTCCCCCACCAAGCTCTTTTCTTTATCTCTACACTCCACTGGGAGCATGTTTGCAGGCTACTGTTTTCTTACAGTCTGATTCATGTTTTATTGGCTGTAACTGTCGGGCACTCAGAAGACACTGATGCATCATCTGGGTGGGGTCTTGAAAAATCTACAAAATAAAATAAAAATGTTTCAGAAATTTAGAGTGCTCTTTCCATTTGTCAGAACTAACCGGCCAGGCCATTCTCCTCATTAAGCGAGACTATCCAGCCGGACCATTCAAATCCTAAATAGCAAACACGAAGTAGATGGTTTTTCCAAAAAAAAAAACTCTTTATAAAAGCCTGTTTCACTGTCGAAATGTTTTGTCTGGCCGGCCAGTTCTGACTTTTGGAAAGCCCCCTTAGATATGTTTTTTAATGGGAAATAATTCACTGGCATGCTTAACATTTCAGGCCTGGTATAGATCCTCTGGCATTCTAGAGGTTCCCCATCTATCTTGGCCAGAAATTCTCGCGTGACAAGCTGACAGCTTCCAACCAAAATCTCTTGTCCATCATTACCGTTCTATTTTCTGAAACTGTTTCCAGACCAGTGTACCTCGCCTGGGTTTTAATGAAAGAAAAAAATGGCTTTTTTACACAGTTTTTGAGAACTAAACAGAAAAATAATGGTACGGAGTCCAACTCTATCGAAAAAGAATACAGTCATACCCCACTTTATGGGCACCTACTTAATACGGACACCTCATTATTATGGACAGTTTGCTTTTGTTCCTGGCGAAAGAAACCTCTCACATTTTCTCTTAATTCAACCTGCTTAATACAAACATCCCTTTAACCCTCTAAGTGCCAATAGTGCTTAAAATCAATTTTTCTCCTAACAATATCCATAGACTATCATGAGCAAAGTCTATGAGGATGAACAAAATGATCACAAAGAGAATAATATTTGATCTTTTACCAAATTCTCTCAACTAATTCTTCAAGGAATTGTATGGAGATCAGTTTGGAGAATTTGTATGTGGATATTGGTACTTTTAAAACAGACACTTTCAATGGCCCCCTCAGTGTCTGTATTAACTGGGTTTGACTGTAAATCTTTATTTTAAAATGATCTTGACTTACAATTTCATCATAAAACTCGGACACCAACTGTTTCTTTCCAGAAGCAAGAGCTGACTCGGTCTGGAAGAGCTTTAAAAGATGATACAGAGTCACCTGTAATAAAGAAGACAGACCATAACAATTAACCCTTTAAGTTCCAATGGTGACCAACATCAATTTTCTCCTAACCATCTCCAAAGATTGTCAAGAGATTTGGTTATGAGAATTAATAAATTGATCACCTAAGAGAAAATGCTTTGATCTTTCATCAAATTCTCTCAACTTATTCTTTAAAGAAAATGTATAGAGATCAGTTTGGAGAATTTGTATGTGGATATTGGGGCTTAAAGGGTTAAGAAATATCCTCACAGCTCCGCAGTGGGGAAAAGGCAAAAATAAAAAAATCGGTGAGCCAAGCAAGCCGAGCGGGAGCAAATCAAACATTGTGTATTACAACAAAAGGGAGCAGGTCTTAAGAATTTTACAATTATATGTCTTAAGGAAGACAAGTTTCAGAATTCTAAGAGAGTATCACCCTAGCTCTAAAGTACAGTGCAACCCGTAGGAGGCGGCAGCTAGATTTGTTCTTGGTTGTCCTGAGTTCACATCCTCGCCAAGCTCGTAAAAGCTAACTGTTTGCCTTCTACCAGTGGGGCTTATAATCCTGTTCTGTTTTATTTGGATTTTTTGTTTCTAGTTATTTGAGTGGTGTGCCTGTAAAGTAGCTGGATAAGCTTTAGTTCACTTCCCAATCTAAACAAACCTTTAACCTGTACATACAGCATGTTACAAGTTTACAATGTGGCCTGATAAAGAAGAATCGAGAGGTAAAAGAAGGAGTTGTTAAGTCTCAAGAAATGCTTTCTAACCGGTCTTTCTGCAGGATCCATGAAGAAGATCTTGATCTGTATTTCAAATTCTCCCCAGCCTGATTCATTCACTTCGTATGGAGGTTTTGTTACAACTGCATAGAAAACATGATGTCAGAAAATTATAATAAGGATTATCAATTAAACAAGTCGCTATACACCAATTCCAGGAGTAAAGCTGTGGCTCTATTTACTATTTACCATACTGGACAAAAAGTGATAAGAATTCTGCACATTCTTACCCACAGTATGCCCATCCTGTTGATTTGGTACCACAATGCAGGGCTGTCACTAAGAGCCGGGGGCTGGGGATTTTCCCTGGCTACTATGAGTGAGAGTCCCAGCTACTTCTTATAGGAAACAAAAGGAAAATAGATCCAAAAGAACTTCCTACCTGTACAATTTCCCTGTTACCAATTGCATATGTACCCAGCAACCTGAAATTTTAGTGACAGCCCTGCACAATGAGCCCCCTCCTCACCTCATCCTGCTCAACACTGTTCAGTCAGGAGCAGAAATGATTCAGCTGGAAATCAAAATTATTTTTTTTTGGAGGAAAGGGTGACATATTTGTCATCAGCAGTACTTTCAAGAGCCTTATTACAGTGGAAGCCCATTATTATGGTCACCAAGAAGCCCAAAAAAATTGGCCGTAAGAACAAGAGGTGACCATATCAACAAGGGTTTCTTTACAAGAAAATGTATGGACGTTTTTGCCAGGAAGACAAAAAAAGTGGCCATAATAACGAGGTGACGGTATTAACGAGGTGGCCATAAGGCAGGGTTCCACCATATTTCAATGAATAGACAATCAATGCCCATTTTTCTTAAAATTTTTTTCCAAGATTATAGCAATCTTGAGATAGGTTTATAAAAATAATAAGGTACTCTCTTAAAACAACATTTCTTTCAGTCCTTAGACATCTTACCTCTGAGAGGATTAGTGTAACTTTCATGAAGTTTGAAGTGAACTTTTTTCACATAACTGGACATGTCCTACAGAGAATGGTACAAGGAATATTTGAGCGTATTCGTATAGGTACAATTTTTTCACTAGAACTCTAAAATAATGGAACATTCTGCCTTCCTTTTTATTAGATCAGCCTTCTGTGGATGCAATTAAATCTGCTGTTACTTTCATTTTAATCTCCCTCATTGATTTTAAACATCGTTGACTTTATACATCATTTTATTTTATTTTTTTGGCACATTCACAGTGATGAATGTGCAAATGAATGATGAGTGACTTTCGTGAATTAAAACATATAAATAATCATTTTTTCTACGCTTGCGACTAGGACTTTCAAGGACTTTCTACGTGCGTGCGAACTTCGCAGATCACGATACCAGAATCTGGTATCATGGATGGGCGGCATCAAAACAAAGTCTACAGGCTCCCCCACCAAGCTCTTTTCTTTATCTCTACACTCCACTGGGAGCATGTTTGCAGGCTACTGTTTTCTTACAGTCTGATTCATGTTTTATTGGCTGTAACTGTCGGGCACTCAGAAGACACTGATGCATCATCTGGGTGGGGTCTTGAAAAATCTACAAAATAAAATAAAAATGTTTCAGAAATTTAGAGTGCTCTTTCCATTTGTCAGAACTAACCGGCCAGGCCATTCTCCTCATTAAGCGAGACTATCCAGCCGGACCATTCAAATCCTAAATAGCAAACACGAAGTAGATGGTTTTTCCAAAAAAAAAAACTCTTTATAAAAGCCTGTTTCACTGTCGAAATGTTTTGTCTGGCCGGCCAGTTCTGACTTTTGGAAAGCCCCCTTAGATATGTTTTTTAATGGGAAATAATTCACTGGCATGCTTAACATTTCAGGCCTGGTATAGATCCTCTGGCATTCTAGAGGTTCCCCATCTATCTTGGCCAGAAATTCTCGCGTGACAAGCTGACAGCTTCCAACCAAAATCTCTTGTCCATCATTACCGTTCTATTTTCTGAAACTGTTTCCAGACCAGTGTACCTCGCCTGGGTTTTAATGAAAGAAAAAAATGGCTTTTTTACACAGTTTTTGAGAACTAAACAGAAAAATAATGGTACGGAGTCCAACTCTATCGAAAAAGAATACAGTCATACCCCACTTTATGGGCACCTACTTAATACGGACACCTCATTATTATGGACAGTTTGCTTTTGTTCCTGGCGAAAGAAACCTCTCACATTTTCTCTTAATTCAACCTGCTTAATACAAACATCCCTTTAACCCTCTAAGTGCCAATAGTGCTTAAAATCAATTTTTCTCCTAACAATATCCATAGACTATTATGAGCAAAGTCTATGGATTGAGGATTAACAAAATGATCACAAAGAGAAAAATATTTGATCTTTTACCAAATTCTCTCAACTAATTCTTCAAGGAATTGTATGGAGATCAGTTTGGAGAATTTGTATGTGGATATTGGTACTTTTAAAACAGACACTTTCAATGGCCCCCTCAGTGTCTGTATTAACTGGGTTTGACTGTAAATCTTTATTTTAAAATGATCTTGACTTACAATTTCATCATAAAACTCGGACACCAACTGTTTCTTTCCAGAAGCAAGAGCTGACTCGGTCTGGAAGAGCTTTAAAAGATGATACAGAGTCACCTGTAATAAAGAAGACAGACCATAACAATTAACCCTTTAAGTTCCAATGGTGACCAACATCAATTTTCTCCTAACCATCTCCAAAGATTGTCAAGAGATTTGGTTATGAGAATTAATAAATTGATCACCTAAGAGAAAATGCTTTGATCTTTCATCAAATTCTCTCAACTTATTCTTTAAAGAAAATGTATAGAGATCAGTTTGGAGAATTTGTATGTTGATATTGGGGCTTAAAGGGTTAAGAAATATCCTCACAGCTCCGCAGTGGGGAAAAGGCAAAAATAAAAAAATCGGTGAGCCAAGCGAGCCGAGCGGGAGCAAATCAAACATTGTGTATTACAACAAAAGGGAGCAGGTCTTAAGAATTTTACAATTATATGTCTTAAGGAAGACAAGTTTCAGAATTCTAAGAGAGTATCACCCTAGCTCTAAAGTACAGTGCAACCCGTAGGAGGCGGCAGCTAGATTTGTTCTTGGTTGTCCTGAGTTCACATCCTTGCCAAGCTCGTAAAAGCTAACTGTTTGCCTTCTACCAGTGGGGCTTATAATCCTGTTCTGTTTTATTTGGATTTTTTGTTTCTAGTTATTTGAGTGGTGTGCCTGTAAAGTAGCTGGATAAGCTTTAGTTCACTTCCCAATCTAAACAAACCTTTAACCTGTACATACAGCATGTTACAAGTTTACAATGTGGCCTGATAAAGAAGAATCGAGAGGTAAAAGAAGGAGTTGTTAAGTCTCAAGAAATGCTTTCTAACCGGTCTTTCTGCAGGATCCATGAAGAAGATCTTGATCTGTATTTCAAATTCTCCCCAGCCTGATTCATTCACTTCGTATGGAGGTTTTGTTACAACTGCATAGAAAACATGATGTCAGAAAATTATAATAAGGATTATCAATTAAACAAGTCACTATACACCAATTCCAGGAGTACAGCTGTGGCTCTATTTACTATTTACCATACTG